ACTGGGGTCAATCCATTCCCAAATAGTTTATTTTCTTTTTATTTATTTGTTTTTATTTTTGTTGTTGTTGTTCACAGTGTCGCCAATAATCGAAGTGGAATCCTTTGAGCCTATGAACCGAGTACTGGAAGGGCGGAATGCCTACGTGTTCTGTCGGGCGACCGGCACCTTTCCCATGATTACGAATTGGTTCAGAGGAGGAGAGCTTGTGTTGGAAAAACAACGAGGGACTATGCTGAAAATCACCGACGCTACTATGTACGACACAGGGAGATATTCATGCACGGTTAAAAACCCCGCAGGGGAGGCCACAGCGGAGACTTATGTTCAGATCCGTAAGTACAGACTACTCTCTTGCCTCGGTTTCAAAACGAGTCTTCTTGCAATACCATTCAAATGAAAATGAGTTTGATTTGCGCATTCAAAAGATACAACATTTTGACTTTTCCGCCATTTTGTTACTAAAAATAATTCAAAATGGCGGAAAGTTCAAAGTTCAAAACTTTGTATCTTTGAATGAATTGAGATATTTTCAATTCAATTATTGTTTCTGTTTTGAATTTCTCGAGGCTTGTTCTTTCCTTGATCATGTATCTCACAATACTAAAAATAATTTTTGGCGCCAATTTGTGACCTCATTTTCCCACCCAAAAAAAACCCATAGGATTTGTTAAAATCACAAGGTCTCTCACGTTGTAAAATTTGAAGCTAATTTGATTAAAAACAAAAATGGTGTAAGGTGCCCGGCATTTTTTGTGTCTTACATGCCCACCGTGTGTAAAAACTCACTTTCATATGAAAATGGATGTTCGGTGAAGTTCATTCTCGTCCCCAGAGCCGCTCGCCTCCGTTAGCTGAAGGGACCTAGCACGAGAAATCGATATGCCTCTCTATTTACGGCCCAGAATCTCCACCGGTGAAAAGAATTCTGTTAGGTTGGAGTTTCAAAAGGGAAGACATCATAGTACACGTAACTCGTGTCAACCTCGTTCCCAGGGTCTCTCATCTTGAAGATGAGAGACCCTGGGAACGAGGTGAACTCGTGTATTTTTCTTTATTTCTAATCTAGAGCCGATGATCTAAGAGAAGGATTCCCGTGCTCCATGATAACTTGTTGAAATCTATTAATAGTTTCGTGCCATGCTGGTAATAAAGTTATTTTTATTCCTACTGATCGAAGCTCCAACATCTCGTCACTCGAAACTGACCAATCAGGTTAGCGCTCTTAAAATAGCTCAGCTATGGACTAAACATTAAAAATAGACCCATGTATGGGGGAATGCTTCTCTAAGATCATCCTCTCTCGTTCCAGTCTCCTCAGCGTGTGGAGGCCATATCGCAGTTGATGAGAACACGACAGCAACAATACAGAGCCCAGAGTATCCCTGGCCATACCGAAAAGCCAAGTCCTGTTCATGGCGAGTGTGTCCTCCACAAGGAATGAAGCTAGAGTTTAACTTCACCACCTTTGACCTTCGTACATTTGACAAACTGGAGATTATTAATGGTAAGATAAATATCTGCCTTAACTTTTGACTACAGAAAGTGATGGGGACGGAGAGCTAGGCACACACCTGTATCATTAATCTGATCAGGAACGAAGTGTCCAAACCCAAGTATAGCACCATAAATAATACAAATCTAATAAACAATATTTCAGGGAACGAATCAAAAGAGAGTTAAAACCATAACTTTAGGCTTTCGCAGATGTCTCAGTCAAGGTCAGGAAGAACTCTGAAACATGACTACCGTGGGAGCTATTGTTAAAGCTAAATCACTGAGACAAAACGGGAAATGGAATTTGAAGCCAAGATGATATACAGGTGGGCTGACCTTGACGACTGGACAACCGCAGCTGATCACAAGATCAACATGAAACTAAGCCAAAATTAACGATTAGATAACTAGTAAATTTAGCTTCATAACACAACTAATTGTGAGGAGATTGTAGCCTGTGTACATCCAGCAGCGTCTCTCAACCCGAAATTTTCTTGTCGCGCAACATTGTTGCGTTGCAAGTTGACAAGCGTGGTTGTGCCTATTGCCAACTGTGTTGCAAGTTGCGGCAACTGTTGCGCTAAGCCATAGACGCGAGTAGAACTTTGTGCAACATGTTGCCGCAACGTTGCAAGGCGGAAGGTAATATACACAACAACACTTTTCAACTTGTAAGACAACATTGTTGCGAGACAGGTTGCAAGAAATTACTCGGCCTTTAGGGCAAATTAATCTCTAGAAAGAGGCACACACTTTTAAGTTTGAGATACATGTTTCATCAGATGACTCTGCAAGTGCCTCTTTCTAAAGATAATTTCTTGTCTGCTGTTGCTTCGAAAATCAATCTCCCTTTTTTATCATTAATCACATGATAATACATTGAACTATTTTTGTCCCATCAGAGTGTGATCGGCATCTCTTTCCGTGGAGGAAGTATTGCGGTTCCAAGGTAACCCCCGGTATGTTTGTGTCCCGGTGCAACACGACTTGTATGCAGGTTGTTTTGAACTCGGGCATCCTTACAAACAGAGTAGCCACTGGTTTCCAAGCAGCAGTCACAGCTACGGATAAAGGTAAAAATAAAACAGCAGCAGCGAAAATAAAAAACACACAAGCGAAGCTAAGCTGCAACAGAACCTTATTGTACTGCTTATATCCTCTTCTAAGAAAATTATTTTCTTGCTTTTTCACAGATAGCACGGAGTACAATCTTACAGAGCTGTTTTGTAGCAGTGACTTAGGTATGTGTATCCAGATAGAGCGGTTTTCAATTGAGTGTTGAAAACCAAAACCAAAACCATAGTTAATAGAGGGAAATGGTTATGAAGCCCGGCAAAGTTCTTTGTTATATGTTTTTGTTCGCTATTTTTGGGGTTGACCGTGTACAAAACCTGACAAAATACAATAGGTGGCTACGTGTGTTCAAGCAACTAACTAATAGAAACGTTGTGATTACGTAATTCATGCATAGTGTATGAGCTCAAAACAAAAGATGTGCACGGTCATGGACCTTCCAACATAAATCTTGTTCTCTTTGTTTGCTCCTTTGAAGTTTGCCGGGTTTCATAACCATTTCCCTCCATTAACTATGCCAAAACCAAAGCAATTACAATGACCAATCACAACAAACGTAAACAACACAATGAACCAATGAGAACTCGAAGCAAATACACGTAACCAGCGCCAAGCGCGGGAAAATGTGCCAGACCAAGTCGCGATTAGTTTTGGCTTTGCATCTGATTGGTTGAGAAGGTGGCGCGAGATTTTTAAACCAATCACAGAACGTAGTAAAGAAAAACCAAAGTAAATTCCGGATTACTTTCGACACTCAATTGAAATCCACTCTATATTGTCAATCATGGTCATGTGCTTGATTTTAGCCTGCGTAGCGGCGGTCTTGTTAGCGCGCGAAGGCAAAATCGATAGCGGCTCCGCCGCTCGCAATAGCGGCTCTTCGCCGCTATCATCGATTTTGCCTTCGCGCGCTAACAAGACCGCCGCTACGCAGGCTAGCGTGATTTCTACATACTTTAGCCTCATCAATTAACGTTTATAACTGTTGTTATTGTTGTTGTTATTGTTGTAGTTATTGCTTGACTTCTTTTCTTATTCTTGTAGTCGCCAGGGTGAATCCTACGGTGAGGTTTGAGGTTTTAGTGGTCCACGTGAAAGTTTTGGAAATCTTCAAACAAGATGAGCCTGCGATTATTTTCACAGATCATGAAATCCCTATAAAGCACGAGTAAGCAAATATTACTAACTGTAGTTGTTGGTCAGCGGGTATATTCTCCCTGAAGAAGTCAGGCCTGAAAAAATATTGAAAAATACAAAAGTTATCCCAACCATACAGTCAACCTTTCTTTATTGGTTATTTTCTCCAAACTGAATACAAATTTCTTCAATTTATGGAATAAAGTGGTTTTTTTTTAAAATAAAGTGTTGATGAATTCTAAATAATGGCCAATTGCAGCAAACGTAAAAACCTGATAAACCAATGAGAATTCAAAGCAAATACACGTAACCGGCGCCAAGCGCGGGAAAACGCACGTGACCAAGTCGTGATTGGTTTTGGTTTTGCATCTGATTGGTTGAGTAGGTGGCGCGAGATTTTAAAACCAATCACAGAGCGTAGTAAAGCAAAACCAAAGTAAATTCCGGATTACTTTCGACACTAAATTGAAAACCACTCTATTATATTTATTGTATTGCTATAAGTATTTAGAATCTCATTTGTGTTTTTGTTGATTTTATAGGATTATTAGACGATATAAGAGGTCTCTGACGATATCGAATTCTAGTACAGTCGAAGCTCTCTGAGTGGATACTCTCGTAAGCGGACAGCTCTACTTACGGCCGCCTCGACAAAACCCCGTTTGCACTCTAGCTCATACAAACTCTGTATTTACACATTCCCTTAAGCGGCCAGCTCCAGTTGCGGACACTTTTCTGCTTACCGAAGATGTCCGCTAACGTGAGCTTCGACTGTATTTCAGATAAGAGGGGATTTTCCTGACCATCATACCAACTCAGCCTGTTTTCTGCTTATCTTGCAGTTTTACCATTACAGACATGTTTGGTTGTTCAATGGAGATCTCGGTTGATATTGATTCAGAATATTACATTTTTGCCTCGTACGAGGAATTTAACGACGGTGCATATGTGATGGATATTGCTGTAGATCCCAGCTCCACCAGTACGCCCGCGAACTTCGTCCAGCGGATGAACATGATAAAAGAGGATCCTCCCCAATGCGAGGCGCTGCCAGCAAAATAACCTGCCTTAGGGGTGGTGTACGTTTAGGAAATAAATAAGGCTTTGGTAAAAATTCAGCCAGTCGCAGCCGGCACAAAGACTTTCGCCATGAAACATTCGCTTAAATAAAAAGACTTGTTTGTAATTTGCGTTACAATTAAAATCAAAGTTTAGGAATAACGATCGTTTGTCATCTATACTGATCTGAAAAATGTCATTCTTTTATTTGATTACTTTTCACGCAGTAGGGAGACGCGGTGGCCTAATGGTTAGCGCGTTGGACTTCGGATCGAGCGGTCTGGGTTCTAGCCCTGGCCGGGGTCACTGTGTTGTGTTCTTGGGCAAGACACTTTACTCTCACAGTGCCTCTCTCCACCCAGAAGTATAAATGGGTACCGGCGACAATATGCTGGGGGGTAACCTGCGATGGACTAGCATCCCATCCAGGGGAAGTAGCAATATTTCTAGTCGCGGCTAGTTGGAATAAGCTCCGGCAGTGTGGGCCAGTTTGGCCCGAGTCTGGCTTTTAGCCCCCACTTGCCACGCAACATACATGTACGGGAGCTGTAGGTCTCTTTTGAGGTGTAGAAACAAAAAGTCCGAACTGAGACGTTCAGTCAAACTGGCGTCTCCAAAGTTTAATGACTTGACTCAGCAGGGCGTAGTTACAAGTGAGCGGGTGATTACACTGAATAGCTAGCTTTTATCACCGAAATAGAAGTTAACTAAAAGAAATGGGGAGAAACATAAGCGTTTCTTATTAGGAGGAGATATGCACGTAGGAAAGCATCTACTTAAATGCAAAATTGGTTGGGTTCAGTGATTTCCTGAGAAATCTCCGTTGCGGGTCACAAAGTGCCAAGGACATTCACAGAGTACCAAAAGAAAAGCGGAAACTACATGTACCATCACTTTATTGAAATTTAATTTGCAAACGTGTGAGACCCCCTGTTTTCCACAGACCCCGGACTCCGTTATCAAAACTTACTGCATTCCCAAGACATGCCTGGGATCTCTCGTCATATAAATTCCGTACAAGTTCCCCGCATACTGAAACTCCGACCTCGTTCCCAGGGTCTCTTTTGGCGGGAAGAAGAGAGACCCTGGGAACGAGGTTGACTGAAACTCCAGGTTGCCATTAAATAATGAGTCATTCTCGTCCCTACAGCCCTCCGAGTATCTTAGCCGGCGGGGCCTAGGCACGAGAAGTGGAGGCCCCGCCGGCTAAGAGACTTGGAGGGCCATGGGTACGAGAATGATAATGAAAGAGGCGGGCCACTTATTTAATCCGAGCGCAGACTTTGTAATTTTTACACATTAAAAAGTCAGACCTTCCAATAAGTTTATTTTATGATTTCTATACAAATTAAGGATTTTTTTATCATTACGAACCTTTGCTATTATTCCAGATTTAGTCTTATGAATACAAGGTATGCGTTTGTAGCGAGGTCAGCAGCAAGTTGGCTGTTTGTTAAGACGCCAGCTTGGCTGTCGCTTGAAAGCGAAATTTAATCGTGCTTATTTAATCCAAATTGCAGCAGAAAGATCAATCATGTAATTACCCGAATAATCAGAAAATCTCAACTCCAAGAGTTATAACAATTTTACTACAAAATACTAGTCCTTAAATGAATTGAATATGAATACAAGAACGTAAGAGACAGACCTTGGACCTGTTTGACTGTTTGATGGTGTTTCGCCATTCATTGTTAGTTTACCAAGCAAGCACTGGTGGTTCAGTGGTAGAATTCTCGCCTGCCACGCGGGAGGCCTGGGTTCGATTCCCGGCCAGTGCAGTGTATGACCTTTTTGCTATGCTAGTTGCTTCTCGGTCGGAAAGTGCGCAAGCGCAGTGGATCTCCAGCAGGGCCGAACGATAAACTTGTCACCAGTTGTTTCTTTTGTTACTTTTAAAGTGTGATAACAATTTCCAGCTAAGAAATACATATAAATATTTTTCATTTTTACATAAAATAAGTCTGCTCACCTGTCAAATTGCCAACGTCGAACGTCACAAACAAGCATTTACGAAAAGAGTACGGGACTGACTCAGAGCCTTTCTTCAACTGGGGGAACAAGTCGAAACAAGTGTTTGGCAAATCTTTGTTGAAGCACTGGAAGAATTTCCCATTGTTATTATCCAATCAAAAACTAGCGCGAGCACTCGCGAAAACAAGACCGTATCCTCATTGCTGTCGGAGTAGCTTAGTAACTTCGGGACGAAAATCGCGGGCTCAGTCTCTTTTAGGAGACGAGATGCGACTGAGCCCGCGATTGCGTTCGGAGTAACTAGTGAGTGCTCGCGCTAGTTTTTGATTGGATAATAACAAACGGAAACTCTTCCAGTGCTTTCAACAATGATTTGCCAAAAACGAGGGTCTGGATGGGGGGGGGGGGGGGTCCAATTAAATGTCAGTTGTTAGTTAAAATTTTAGCCATTTGTTAGTTGTAAGTAAACCCCATCCAGACCCTCAAAAAGGGCACTTGTTCACCCGACTGTAATTATAAGAAAATAGCAGGCCAGAAAACGAACGGTCAGGATTGGCTGAAGATCGAGTTTCTGTAGCTTTCAAGAAACACAGAAAAGTTTCAATTATTTATTTTCTAACGGAAATATAAAACATTTTCCCGTATGTTTCTACTGACTGAGTTATAGAATTATATGACTTATATTGTTAATCAAAAACCTAAAGCCGTAACAATAACAAAATCAACGAGGAAGAAGAAAATAAATAAAAATAAAATGTAAAGGGGGCAACCGGGTTTGAACCGGTGACCTCTCGATCTGCAGTCGAATGCTCTACCACTGAGCTATGCCCCCGTACGTTGAAAGACCCATCAAAATTCTGGTGGTCATAAGGTACCAAACCATTTCTCGCCGACAGGTGTAAGAAATAGCGCGGACGCGCGGTTTTCAATTGAGTGTCGAAAGTAATCGCTGAATTCCATTGGCTTTCCTTTACTACGCTCTATGATCGGTTTAAAAAACTCGCGCCACATTCTCAACCAATCAGATGCAAAACCAAAACTAATCGCGACTTGGTCGCACGCGTTTTCCCGCGCTTGGCGCCGGTTACGTGTATTTGCTTTGAGTTCTCATTGGTTCATTTCGTTGCTCACGTTTGTTGTGATTGGCCATTGTAATTGCTTTGGTTTCACAACCACTTAATTGAAAAGCGCTCTTTAGAACGAAAACTCACTTCAAATAAACTCAATATGCTTTCGAATACGCTGACGTCATTAACGTCTATTTGTCGCATGCGCAGATTACTGTTGTAGCGTTTTCGAGCGTTTAGTATGGACGGGGAAAACGACACTCTACGCGGAGCGTTTGATGCTTTTTCGGTAAAAACGGAGCGTTTCGAAAACGCATTACAGTCGAACCCCTATTAAGCGGGTGGCCGCTTAATAGGGGTTCGACCGTAGTATGGACGGGCCGAATTCTTCGCTTTAGGCGGCCAAACATCAGTTAATTTTTTTGGTCAGTTACATTTTGGTTGGTACCGCCGTATATTTTTTACTTGTTCTTTGTCGGGTTTGGCTCGCCCTGCTCCTTCTGGGACGATACTGCGCCAGTAGCGATGGACGCAGTTAAAGGGACCTGTCCCGGCGTATTTGATCAAAACTGTTATAAATGCATGAAATGGTCCCTAAATCTATGAAATAAGAACTAATAAACTCTAACTAAATGATAAAAAGCAATTTCTTCAAGAAATTCCATACTGCAACAAAGTTTTGCAAAATTTCAAAGTTTTCCGAGCCAAATTCGAAACTTTTGAAAAACTGACACCCTGACATTTTTTCAAAAATCCATATTGCAATTAATTTCCATCCTCGCTCTCGTTTGTCATCCTCACCTCCTAATGGGTTCCAGTCATTTGTCGAGTGCTATTCTACAGAATCAAACCATTATTGTTCAACTTCCTATGATCTAGATATGTTTCCGAGCTTCCCAAAATCATGCTAAAATCAGGACAGTGTCCCTTTAATGTTTCCATAACAGACTTGCAGACGGAATAACAGACAGCAAAAGAATCCTCTAATCCGCTTTCTCTCTATTAAAACTGTTGATACCTAACTGTCACTGCAAGCTTGGAGTATTGGGCGTTTCCTCCCATAATCCCACTCACGCCAGTTACACTCTCGTCAGACCACTGTTGACTTTTTGGCGGCCAAGATGAATGTTCATTTACAACCGACAACAACAACACACACAACTTTATTTGAGTGTCACAGCTCAGTACTAGCTGGCACAAGTAGCCTACTAATTATTGGAGACACTTTTGGCGTAATTTACACATCCTAAGAGCAGTCGTGTGGTACCTGATATGAGATCCTCGATAAATAAATTTATTTACTTTATATAAATGAATAAAAGATAACTGTCGGGAACTCGCAAGATAAAGGTTCAATTTTCCGATTTTATTAGTGGAATTTGAGAATAAAATAAAATGTCCCCCCTTGGCCTTTTACGCCGGTCATTTATGGCTTGTCTAGAGAATTCAGAAACTCCCTGTATAAATGTTGTTGTATGTAAACCACCAAAGTAGTGTTTTTAATGTCTGCTATTTTTGTATGTTGTGTCACCAGCTGTCCAAACGACAAGGGTAATTAGTTCAAACTTCTTTTCGTTTCTTTGGAGATTTGCCTGGTAGATATTAGAAGGCTTTTTTAGCTTCATTTGTTCAGTATGTCAGCTGACATTCTCCAAATTGAAAGACTGGGTTATTAAAGGTTGGTAATTATCTGCCCGCGATAATACTATGGTTTGTTTGTGTTATAACGCATTCTTTCCTAATTGCTAAAGCAGCTGGTCGATGTTCCGGGCCAAAAAAGGAGTACACAGCAAATGGTTGCTTCTGAAGATTTATCCGATCGTTTTCTGTGTTCTTCGACACGGCAATGTCGGCAAGGCCTGCTTATCTGGCGACTTTCATGACATTTAATCTAGGAATCTTGTGAAAGACATATCTCGTTTACCCACACTGTGTCGGTTCTAAATAGAGAGCACTCCTGTCGGAGCTCAAAGATAGCATCTAGCTTGAATTCCATTCATATAGATTAAACAAAGCTTGTGTACTTTACTGTTAAAGCGTTTTCCAAATGCACTCCAACGCTGAGAAACGACGCTCAAGAGCATACAATAAACACTATATTGCATCTCTTCGTCAGATATTATGTTATATAAGCATGCCCTTGAGTGCGTTAATTTTTCTGAAGAGTTTATAACGAGAGCATGAATTGTTTGATCAAACGTAGTGTAATTCTACTCCTCACCGCTGAACACCGGCGATCGGAAAAATATCCCGCATATCAGCCGCAAACAGGCAGGCTCTGTCATCACTGCTATTGAACACTGCCTGGGGACCGCAGTTAGTCACCGAGTTAAACTGTGTAAATTCCAGTTTTTTGATATTGTGAAAATCAGTTTGAGTTGTATTCTTTCTCTACACAAAGACTTCTGCTGAGGGCATTCGTTCTTGACCTTTAAAAGAGTACCGGTAACCGATACAAACAGTATAAGGAGGCTCGGAAAATTCTTCGGCGACTTCAAGCACTAACTCCCGCTGTTGACAAAGAGTCTATTTCCGGAAAAGGGAGCACACACCTCGGGGTTAATTAAAACGAACCCAGAACGAAGGAAGGACGACTTCCAAGTCGGTAAAAATACAGGTTTGAACGAGGTAAAGAACAAAGATGCCAGCAATTTCAATGCACTGCAAATGTGGGACCACGCGGGAAACATTCGAGGGAAGAAATGTGGGTTTTAACTGAGGGAGTTCCGCTTTTCTCTTTGAGCCATTTTCAACACCCAGTGCCGGCTCGTTTTAAGTCCGCTGTTTTTCACCTTGTCGGTCCGAAACTGTTTGTAAATATCACATTTATTGCCAATTACTGGAGATAAGGCAAACTATTAATTAAATTTGAAGTATCCATTGACACTTGGCTCTGTAATCTCATTGGCAGGGTTTCAATAGTTGAGTGAACATAATTAGACAACTTGACGGTTCGGGAGAGTAAGGTGATAGCCGTGTTTATTTTAACCCGTGCGTACAAAACTGTCGCGGGACAGCAGCGTTGCGTTAGTTTGTGGCAAAGTTGACTGACGGTGGGCTGAGTTCGAGCCTGAACTCGGGTCGAACGCGCAGACATTCCCGTCCTCTACTTGAATTCATCCTTTAGTAAATCGAACAATTTGCATTCCGTTGTTTTTTGTCATCCGAACATGGGACTGCCGCATTACGAGAAGTCGCTCACCATGGGCCAGCCAAGGAGAAAGTACAGAACATCGAACAGTAAATCAAAACGCAAAGGTGATGTCTCTCATTCACACGACCATGGTCATGGCGGCAAGGGCGACCAGAGAACTGTGGCGAATGTACGCGAACGACAAAGAACTCAAGCACTGAACGAGGCATTTAACAAGCTACGTAAGATCATCCCAACCTTGCCTTCAGATAAGCTCTCTAAAATACAAACGCTACGCCTGGCCTCGCGCTACATCGACTTCTTGTGTCAGGTTTTGGGCAACAACGAGAAGCACCCGAGTTCTGCAACAAGCAGCTGCTTCATCGCACATGAACGACTGAGCTATGCCTTCAGTGTATGGAGAATGGAGGGAGCATGGTTCCAGCATCAGTAACAGAGGGGATCATCTCCCTCCACGCCGTCGATTGAATTGAAGTGAACACAGCCTCCCATGAACTCAACACGTTGATTGCTCTGACTGACTCGCGCAATCGAAGACGAAACTTCATGTTTCTCAAGTTAAAGCGTGTCCCCACGACTTTTCTGT